TTGTTTTGAGTAGAATATATTAGAAATGTTCAGTCAGTTTATGGTTAGTGTAACTTTCAGAAAGATTATTTAAATCTAACATAAGACTGATATTCTAACTACTATTTGGAAGAATATTGTCATTCAGTATTGTTTTTTCTTGTAATAAATGAAGGAATTGTTGGGGGCGGGGATAAATAAATGTGTTTCCTTCCATCTTCTCAAGACAATTTTAATAGGCAGAAGAAATTTTCATTTTCTAATTAGAATATTTTTCTTACAAGTTGGAAAAATTAATTCTAAATTTAGGGTCATGCTTCTTTAGCAATGGAAATGTCTTAGGGTGTTCTCGCCTTGTTCAGAAGTATAGGCTGAGGCCTTAGCCCCATGTGCAATGCCACACTGAGCACTTGGGTCCTGGGACAAAAGTTGACCGATTTTGTCTGGGGGAGTCGTTATTTCAATGTATTTCTTTTTCTTTTTGTTTTAGCTAATATGGAGCTCAAATACGCCTTATTTTGCACAAAAGACTGCCAAGGACATGATCAGCAGCTGGCTACAGCCTCGATTTATATTTCTTTTTGTGGTGAACTGATTTTTTTTTAAAAAAACCAAAGTTTAAACAGAGATTTTTGAAATGCCTATGGCTCCTTTAAATAGTAAACTTGAGCATCTTTCTATTTTCCAGTAGTCAACAAAAAGCAGTTGGAATTTTCCTATTGCTTCCCATAAAAACACTCCTGCACTTGCCCAGGCCATGGATGCACCCTGTCCCCTCTCCTCCCATCATGGGGCTGCAATGCTTACCCTCTGCCTTCCTGACTTCAGCGATTCTGTTGCTGATGTAGAAAACTCCTCTCCCCATTCCCTGTAAATGATGCAGGCCTTATGGAGAATAGGGAAACTCCCAACCACCTGTCACCTGGATATCCTGATGCTGGTGCCATCTCTAAATCAAATGCCTGGGCCACTATCTACAAGTGACCTGATCTGCTTGGAAACTATGGGAGAGAATAGGTGGAATCTTATTAAAAATGACCAAGAATGTTCTAGGGCACTCTGGGAGCCCATAAAGGCAGGGACCCTCCTTTGTCAGGCAGCTTTCTGAAGATGTGGCCCAGTGGAAGGCTTCAGTGACCTTTGCTGTGGTCCCATAGGGTAGGAGGGGCAGGGGCAGTGGGTGTCAGCCTCCAAGTTCAGCGGCATCACCACTGATAACAGCACAGTTCTTCAGATGACTGCAGAAAATAGTGTTTTCTGGTCCAGCTCCTCAAAACAAAGTTTATTTGGGGGATAAACTCTTTAAAAGCAAAAGATGTATTTTCATCTCTCATCCTTACTATCTAAACAGGAAAGAGGAATGAATGGCTTGCTGGAGAGCCTGGCAAGGACACTGGGAACACAGAGTATTTGTTGAACTTGGGGTCCTTTTCATATTTTTCTTTATAATTCACACGTATATGCAGACAAGATGTGTCCTTAATTGTTAACATTGTATACAACGTAGCCCAAATATAATATGATCTGTACTAGATAATCCTAGATAAAATGTTAGCGATAATAGATGATATAACCACGGTCACACCCCAGGAAAGGAGCCCATGTCTGGAGGCTGGGCTGCTCTCCCCAAGGCCAAGCCCAAGGAGGTCTGGCAACAGAAGGGTGCAAGGAGACTCTACCCTGCCCCGCCGTGGCCTGCAGGGTGGACATACGCTGCACAGAGCTCTCCTTGAGAACACAGAGGAATCTCAAGACATTCTGCCTACCTATTAGCTTTTCTTTATTTTTTTAATTTTTTTGGAAAAAAAATGTATTTTTGAAAAGTTTGTCTTGCAATGTATTTATAAATAGTAAATAAAGTTTTTATCATTAGAAAACTCTTTTTGACTGATTCTGGGTCTTGTGTCACTAACGAGATTACTCTAAAAAGGTAGCATATTCTAGACATAGTAGAAAATTTAATGACCACAAATGATTCCTTGCTTCTACCTCTAATAAAAGAATCTCAGCAAGATGGTTGCAGGGGCCTTTATTGGCATCCCTGCAGCAGAGGGCCACATGCAGAGGAACATATAGGTCTGGGAGGTTGTGTTGATAGATGGCTGCCACACTGAGCAGGTGGGGTAAGTCAGCAGGTTTGGTCCTTGCCTTTCCAGCTGATGGTCTGTGTTGTCTTCAGAGTTACCTCCCAGCCAGTTGATGTAAGTGAAGAGATGAACACACAAGCCCATCAGTCCTGTGCCCTTGCCCTATAGCTCTTCTGCCACTGGATTCTTGGAGAATGGAAATGGAAAGAGTTCAGAAGGGAACCCCAAAAAATGCTCAGAGGGGTCCTAGGATCGCAGCCACTTTCTGTAACTTTGGAACCCTTGTCCCTTGTCATACAGCAATTTCAAGTAAATCTAGAAGCCTTGACTTCAAGACCCCAGAAAGGAATCAGCTATTTAGAGCCATGTTTAAATCCATTCAGCAGACATCTGAAATGATTCCAGAATCAGCTGTATACAATGAACAGCAAGTTGGTTCTATGGGTGTTTAGAGGTCTGGGGTTGTACAGCATGGCCAAAGAATGAAAAGAGAAAATAACAGGGCCAAGCCATTGGAGTGCTGTGTTTCAGAGCTTCAAGGATAGGAGACAGCATAGTGAACTCCCTGGGGATGAAATGGCACACCCTGACTACAGGGTGCCCTGAAGCACATCACCCTCAACTCAGAGCCTCGAGGAATCCAGGACAGGAACTTGATAGGTCTTTTGATGCCTTTCATTGCAAAGGTGTGGGCCACATGGCAGTTCCTTTTTATAAACCCATTGGGCCTACCTCCCTAGAGCCACTAATACACATATACTTCCTTGACCTCTAACTTCTACTGCAGTTCATACTTCTGACAGTCAGTTCCTCACATCAACTTGAATGGGTCACAGGGAAGTCTGTGCATGCTTTCAGAGGAGATAAGTAGACTGTTCTTCCCCATTGTTCAATCTGCTTAGAATCTAAAGCAAAAGACCTAGAGGAAAGAGGAATTTGTACCTTTCTTCCTACCTATCTGGGAAGACTTGTCCTCTGGCCCTTAAAGTGGGAATTACTTTTTTAAGTATTTAGCCTCAGACTCATTATACTACCTACTGTCCTGTGTCTCCAGTTTGCAAATGGTAATGGGATTTTTCAACCTCCCCAGCACATAACCCAACTTTCACAATAAATCTCCATTTCTGGGTGGATGGTGGATGGATGGATGGATGGATGGATGGATGGATCAACAATTAATAGATTGATATGTAATAGATGATAGGTCATTGATAAATGATAGGCAAATAGTCAATTACTAGATATAGATAGGTAATTGAGGGGTGATAAATGGTAGAGCCAAGGAGATAGCTCAGAGGCAGAGGAGGTAAAGAGGTAGAAAGGTAAACAGAAATGATAGATTGATAAGTAAAGGTAAAAGACAGATTCTTAGATAAATGATATATTGATAAATACAGACAGAAGATAAGTCCATAGATAGACAGGTGTAACCTATTGGTTCTGCCCTGTGGAGAGCATAATATATACATTTTTTGTAATCAAATCTTCCTTCTAAATGCTCTGATCCCTTCCAGATCACAGGCCCACCTGGTTCACTTCTTACTCTCTGTCCTTCTGCCTCTCCTTACAGATTCCCAGCTAGATCCTGGGGCTCCTCTGCCCTTCCACCTTCTCAGCTACCCTCCACCAACCCTTAAGGCTATCATGCCCAGCCACCCCACACACGTGGGAAAGGATGTTCTGCTTCCTGGAGTCAAGGCAGTGCAGAAGCAGCATTAACATCTGCTTAAGGTTCATCCAGCAAGTTGACATGACCATCAAATCCATTGTAGAAATGAACCCAGAGGCATCCTGAGGGACATACAGAGCAAAGTTCAAGGTTATTTGAAACAAATGCATGGCCTTCCTGAAGTGGCTATTAGAGTCAAGATGAAAAATACCTGTGATAAGTAAAACAAAAGCAGAGGTAATTACATTGTATACAGAGAGAGAAAAAATATATATATACCATAATGTTAACCCTCGTTATATGAATAAAGATAGTATCTGCTTTAAATTTTCTATTTCATTACAATCTCAAAAACTTCAGCAGTGAAGAAGATTATATTTCTCTTTATTCAGAAAAGCGTGCTGCATTTTTATCACTGACCCCCCCCCCAAGCTGTGCATTTTAAGCAAGAACAGGACTGTGTGTTTGCTCCATCCTAAGGGCCCATCCTTAAAGACTCACTTTCTTCCTTCCTTGTCCTATATTCAGTCAGTATTATTTACCTACAACAATTACCAAGACATGGAATCGCTGCCCTTGATACATGGGATATGAGGCAGTGTCAAGTGCTGTGCAGAGAAGCCTAAAGGGAAATGGGAAAAGTACTGCCATTGCTCCTCCTCTCTCTCACCCTCCTTCCTCTCCCCTTTCCATCCCTCCCTCTTTTCCTTCTTCCTTTCTTCCCTTCTTCCTTCTTTCCTAATTTGCTAGGGATTTTCTAACAAAAGAAGACAAGACAAAGAAGGCCTCATTGAGAAGAGGACTTTTGATTCAATCCAGAAGTAGAAGAGGATGCCTGATGCAGGGGGATCACAATTGCACACAACCCCAGGCAAGGCAGGAGCAGAGACCTAGATGTGGAGCCAGCTATGGAGGGAGAAAGGGCGAGTCCAGACAGAAAACCATGATCTCCACTATCTACCTCTTTGGCTTTGAATGTGTTCTAAGTTCCTGATCTAACCTCCTTATCACAAGAGATCTTTATCACAGGAGACCCAAAACCTCACTGTGGCCCACCAGGCAGAGAAGGGGCCTATGAAGGTCAGGTGAACAATTGAGATTTAGCTCAGATCCATGTAACTGTTGGCCCAGTGTGTCCCAGGCCCAGAATGCAAAATTGGAAAAATATGCTTTACCAGATGGCTGAATCAGCACCCTGGTTCCCTGACCTATGGAGTGAGGCTTTTATAGTCAGATAGGCCAAGAGGCCATCAGAACCACCTCTACCCAGGATTTAGGAAGTTGGAAACAATAACACATTCCTAGAGGAATTGCAGAAACCAGACAAACACCCTCTCAAGCCTGACAACTCCTTTTTGCTAACTAAGCAGTAGTCTGTTTCAGAGAAGAATCTACCTAGCCAGCCATATAGGAATTCCAGTGTTGCTGGGTGACCCTAGGCAAAATCGCTTAATCCATAAACAACACTCTATAGATGTGCTCTTCATCCCCATCCTAGAAAAAGTCATGAATAACCCTCCTGCTTATTAACTAAAACCTGCCACTTCCCCGTTGCCTCAAAGTCCCTTATCCTCTGTTCCCAGAGAAGCTAATCTGTAAGTTTTTTCTCCCAGTCTCTTCTTATTCTCTAGCCAAAGAATAAACTTTCCTTCAAGGTTCAATTGGCTCTCGGTTTTATTGGTGCCACAATTCCAAGTGAGAAAAGAATCCAGTTTAGATTTTAAAAAATAGTAAGAATTAGTGCCACCATCAAGGACTTGAAAAATGTCAGAGGGGTGGTATCCACCACTGCCTTCCCTCTCCCAGGCTGCACCTATAGCCTCGTAAGGAGTACCTTACGATTATCTGACGGGACAGGAAGACTTGGGCCTAATTTGCTGATGGTCCTACACATCAATAGACAGCTACAACATAAAGTACTTTGCTTTGGGAAAAAAATTGCCACATGTAGTTATCTACCAACTTGTAGGCTATAACCAATAGTTTAGGATGATTATTATCTTAGTGTCTTTTCCTGTTCTGTGATAAAATACCTCAACAAAAGTAATTTAACGAAAGGAGGGATTAATTTAGCTCACAAAACTACATACCATTCTGTGGAGGTAAACAACACAGCAGGATCTAGAAGTATCTGCATGCTGCCCAGTTCCCTTTTGTCATTTAAACAGTCCAGGATCCTAGCCATAGGATAGTTCCACCCACAGTAGACAGGTCTTCCCATCTCAATTAACATAATCAGGATAATCCCTCACAGACAGGGTCAAAGGCCCATCTCCTGGGTGAGTCTAGATTTTATCAAGTTGATAATTAACATTAGCCATTATAGTTATGACTAGAAAGATGGTGCCAAAGAGGTTTGGGGGTGGGAGTATGTGCACGGGTCTCTTTGAATGGAGAGAAAGTATAAAATGTCTATATCTTGTGTGAATGCTCAATCCTTGGCAGAAGAGAATTTTGATCATCAAGTGGGCAGTGAATAGCACTCAGCCTGTTCCTCCAGCCATACCTGCTATCCCCCAATGCTCTCCTGATCCAAGTGGCCATGGTGGCAAGGAGGGGTTGATGCATGACTTGACAACACGAACTTTCACTTACCAAGGCCAGCAGGCTACAACCTTACTGCACAGTGTCCTGTGCCAGCAATGCACAGTGAGTCTGAGCTTCCAATATGGCATCATTCCTGGGTGGCCGATTGCACAGGACTCTGTCCATCAAAAAAGAGACAATATTTCATCCTTACTGGTAAATATATTTACTCTGGCTATGGATTTGTCTTTCAGTGCACATAATACTTCTGTGGAATTCATCACCTCTGTGCTCACAAAATGTCTCATCTACTATCACAGAATCCCACATGGCAACACTCTGACCAAGGAACTCACTTGACAGCAGTGCAGTACAGCAATGGCCCCGTGCTCAAGGAATTTACCATTCTGACCATGTTCCCCACAGCCTAAAGCAACTAGATGATTGATCAGTGAGGTGGTCTTTTGAAGATCACACAGTTACAGCACCAGCTAGGTGACAATATCTTATAAGAAAGGTCAGAAATCTCCAGGAGACTGCCGGCACTCTGAATTGGCAGTATCCAAGATGTGTGTTAGTTCCCCCACAGCCAAGGTTTAGAGGCCCAAGAATAAAGGAGTAGAGGAGATATAGCCCCACTCACTTTTACTCCCACTAGCAAACAGTACAAAATTGTTTCCTAGTCCCACAATGTTATGCTCCATTGACCATTGGTCTTGGGTTCAAAGATTCTACGAGGCGATTTAACAACGATTCTACCAGACTGATAGTTAAGTCTGCCACATGACCATTCTGAGGTCTTCATGTCTCTCTTGAGTCAACAAGCAAAGCAGGGAGTCCCTGGATAGCAGTGAAGATCTACCCAGACTACCACAGTGGGAGTAAGAAAGTTCAGGTCTGGAGCATCAGAATCCTGTAAAGCTTTCTTAGTTGCCATACCCTGTGATCAAGGTCAAGAGGCATGGAGGTCAGGCTGTGCCCTACTTTAAGATACTCCACATTGGAAGGAAGGATACCTTTGGGGCCATTCCTTACTCTGGTTAACTCCATTTTAGAAAACTAAAGCAGGCTCCATTTTTATTAAAAATGCTCACACAGAATACTCTGCCTTGTTTGTGCAAGCTAATAACCGCCATCTGTCCAGAGGAATCATGAGTTACAGACCTGTGAATTTGTCAGAGCAGATAGGAAAAACATGAACTTATGAGGACCATATCAGCAGCTTAATAGAAAACTAGAATGGGTGGAGACAGTAGGACTGCTAGGGATTTCTGGCCAGCCAGACTAGATGAAAAATTGGAGAACTAGATTGACTTTATCGTGTATTTGAGTTTGTTGATGTTTCACTCTAGTATTTAAGCAACACAATATCCAGGCAGGAGTGAGCACCACTCAGGGCTTTGCTTCCTCCTCTGGGGAAAGGCTTAGCACACTTTCGGTTGAACATGAGATCATTGTATCAAGCTATGAATTATGACCTGATTTTGCCTTTTTTTGGAGATTAAGTATGATTTGAGGAGATGGACATGGTGCCAAGTTGCTGTGGAGTGGACTCTTAATGACTAGTTTTATGAATCAACAGACTGAGTCCTGGGGTGCCTAGAGATTTAGCTAAACATAAGCCTGGGTGTGTCTGTAACGGTGCATCACCTTTCCCTAGGTTGGCCCTGAGAGTCTCAGCCTAAGTCTACCAGAAATTGTGCTTAATTTACATCAGTGAAACAAAGCTCCTACTCCTGAGGCCTTGAAGGACCCATACCCTTAGCTTTGTCCTAAATGCAGTTTCTGTACCTTAATGAGGAGTCTGACCACTGAGCTCAGCAGAGAAGACAGCAGCCATGGATTGGAAGGGTTAGGAGGACACCACAGATAAAGGGCTAGAGCCTCGAGAAGGGCCTGGCTGACCGAGAGACCACTGACCAGGTGCACTAGGCAAGAGATGAGAATATAAACCATAGCATTTGGGGAGGTGGCCTGCAGGGAGGAGAGCCCTTGGCTTCCCTATAAGATATCAGTAGGCAGAGCTGGAGGCAGCCAAGCAGCTTGGGTAGGATCATTTGGAATGGACAAAATGATATGGTAAGATGGGCAGAGAGGTCAAGAGCAGTCCAAGGGAAGGGGCAAGCACCAGGCAGTATTTGAAAAATCAAGTGATTCCACTATAAGCAAGAAGCAATGTAGGGAGCAGGGAAGACCAGTGTGGTCAGAATTGTGGCCCAAAAATTAGAGAGGAGGATGTGATGTGCGCCAGCTGTGAGGGTGCTGGAGAAGGTGGGCGAAATGGTGGGTCTGACAGGGTGAGGAGGCCAGGGAAGAGAAAGCTAGAGAACAAAGCAATCCAACAGCTGGACATGGTGATTCATGCCTGTCCTCTGAACACTTGGGAGGCTGAGACAGGAGGATCGCCATGAGTTCTAGGTCAGCCTGGGCTATAGAATGAGATCCTGTCTCAAAAACCCAAAGCAAAACAGAAGCAATCCAGTGATCACTTTCCTGTGTCTCTATTGACAAATTTAGGCATATTGAGGAGGAGGAGAAAGTGAGGGCCTTGGGGAGAAAGGCAACTGGCTGAGAGAGGAAAGGGGACCTCCGGTATGGCCCAGGCAGAGGCCTGATGCTACTTGGAAATGGTAGGCACAAGCTTGGAAATGGGAGGCACAAGGTGTCAGGACCAGATGCTCTATAGATGGGGGCTGGGGAGATCCTGACTATCACACTTTCTAGTCCCAAGGCACAAACAACAAGTCAAGGGAGGGAGAAAGACAAAGGGATTGCAGGAGCAGAGGTGCCGCTCCAATGACACAGGACAAGAACATTTCGAGGTAGAATATTTATTCCAAATGTGTGTTCAACAGTGTATCAATGCACATTTCCACACATATCAACAATACCAGCACATCTAGCTTTGATTACATAATCAACATGTTAATTTCTCTTACAAATTGACATCAGGTACAGATATGTGGGATACACAGCGTAAATCATCCTGAAACACAGCTTAACTGCCCTCCTTTAAGCTACGTGAAAAATCTCTGCCTTGTATTTCTTTCTGTGCTTTCTAGATAGTATCACTCTGTGCTCTTTAAAAAAAAGAAGCAAGAACTTTTAACAAGCTGAAATGCAAGTATTTACACATTTGGTGATGAAAAGTGTTTCATGATATATAAATTAATATAGCACAAATGTGTAGAAAAATAAACTTACAGTGAATAAATATAAACCTGCCTTATATATCAAGCAATATGTGATATATAAAATAAAGTTCCTAGATATATACATATACACATATATAAAAAGTGTGTGTTCCAGAGTATAAATATACTATATACTTAAATATCTTGTGTTAGAGAGCATATACAGTATCTCTTTTTAGTTTTGTACATTAAAATACTGGTGGCAGTTGGGGTCTCCTCTCATCTCCAAGGACCCTGGGATCTTCTTCCCACTCCAAGGGTAGACACACCAGCAGAGTCCTGCCTCTCCATCCAGGGATGTCTCGCACTGCAAAGACAGGACCAAGGTCAAGAGCAGCAGGAGGTAGAGCTTTGACCAGCCCTTCCCTTAGTACAGCCAAGGCACTGCACAGCCATCCACTAGCTAAGACACAGCAACGCCAAAGCCTTTCTGGTTGTCATCATAAAACAGAGACATTGGCTGTGTGGCACGTGTAAAGACCTCATATGTTTGTTCATTGGTCCAGTGTTTTGACCACTATCTGCTTCGTGGCACTGTTAGGAAAAGAGTATAGCAATAGGTCTCATTCATGAACCACATCTGATATATAGCAGGGCCTAGGCTTCAGGCTTCTCCAGTAAATTCTCAGAATTTGTGCTTCTCTGAGTTCTACAGGCTACTCAGAAGTAAGTCTTGATTTTTCGCATCTCATTCATTACTGGGTATGCCACAAAACTTACTGTATTTTATTATAGGGTTTGGTTTTCTTTGTGGGGAGAAAGAAAGTAAGATGTCTGTCTCCTAAGTTGAAATCCGTTCCTCTGGTTGTAGGAAAAGAATTGAAACCTGAGTGTCAGCAGGTGGGAGCTCCCATTTCTGTTGCTTGCTGAGTGATAGTGCTGATGCTTAGTCCCAGAGTCAGGGCCTAAGAGGAGCTCTTCTACTGGCTGAGGTGCCTATCACACTATATCTGCATGGGGACTAGCTTCTCCTGGTTCCTACATGGGGCGGGGTGGGGGAGGCAGGGGAATCTCACTTACGAAGGTCATTGGTGGTGTGTATGTGGATCTATGAATCATTTGCCTTGAAAACTATGTCTTTACAGGCATAAAGAGCACACAGTAGCAAGACTACCTACCTGTTTGCTGTGATAAAACCCATTCTTGTTGCAGTTTGGTAGGTAAAATTTGTAGATTTCATCTCCTGCTTTCTGTTGGGCCTTGGCTAATCTCTCTAGAACTTTGTAGAGTTCTCGCTGGCAGGGCTCCTAAAAGAATAGTTTGATATTTGGATGAATATAAGCGACAGTGAACTAACATTTTGGACAGTGACTAACACAGAGCGGGCACAACCCTACCACCTAGCCATGGCATTCTGGGGCCATCTGTCCAATCACGTGCCCTTCCTGGGCTTCCTTTTCCCATCTATGAGTGGCACAGGTTGTTTTCAGTCTTCAACTGTTAGGATAAAGATGGGGACAGTACCTTCACCCTCAGTGGACAACATTTTCTGCACACCTCCTTAGCCAATGCATAAAACACCTCCTGACTCTTTCTAATAATTGCGAGACTTGCACACTAGCAAAAATGGGCTTAGTCCCCTAAAAAAATACTCACTCTTTCACTTTTCTGGGTGTGTAAGGTTATGGTGTGCTCATTTTTCTTTCCTTCTGCCCTTCATAACTTAAATCTCTCAAACTTTGGTTGTCTGTCGCCCCCAAGTGGTAGAATTTCAACCATTAGTTAGAGAAATTCTTAATGGATTAAGTGTTGGAGGATGAAAAAATTGTGAATGGTTGGAGGTGATCATTGTTAAATGTACTTGGTGACTAAGAAACTGATAGTTAAAATAGTTAATTTCTTCTACATATATTTACCATATTTTTTAAAAGGTAAATTATAGCAGGGACAGGGTTGGGACCTGTGCTCTGCTTCACGTGCTATAATTCAGTACCCTTTAGAAACTATCTAGTCTGACACCTTAGAGATCAACTAAAGGTCCACCTGCAGCATCTCACCTTCCATTTCTTGATGTTGGTGTCCTCTCGGGCCCTCAAGCTGTTGTAGGTGCTGATAGCATTCCACAGGATGGGCCGGTCCTCACTGGAGGGAGCCATCAAGTGGAAACTCTCCAGCAGCTGCTCCTCTGTCATCTCTGGGCTCTCAGACGGCTCATCCTCAGGGGCCACAGCAGCCTTTGTCTCTGAAAAGTAAGCACCATGGACCCATGATCCCCCTAGATCCTCTGCTCCTGTGCGGTTACTTCCTTCCCTCAAAACCAGCCTGCAATGGTCAGGTGAAATTGGACCTTTTTTCACCAATGGCTTTCGAGACCAATGATGAGCCAACAGCAATACTAATTCTATTCTGGAAAACAGTGTGTTTCAGAGTGAGGCAGGGACACCCTGTGATTTCACTTCTCAGGGGGCAGAGGGAACAGCATCAGACTCTAGGGGGCAGGGATATAACCCTGAAGATACCACTAGAGTCAATTCCTGAGCCCATTAGTGGTAAGACTTGGCCCTTCAGATCTCTACTCCACAAAATGAGTTCAGTAAGACCCTAGGAAAAGGGGCAATTCAGTTAGAAACAAGGTCTAGAGTGCAGCCTTCCTGACCCAGACCACCATCCTCCTCTCTTCTGAGATTTCTTCTTTCCCACATGTTAATCACCTCTTTACAACCTCCTAAGAGGAAAACATAGTTAGACACCTTGCCCACCCCACTCAGGGGAAGTCCATGTCTGAGGACCAATGAGATGGCTCTAATTTCATTTACTTGGAAGGGCAGAGCAAACCTTGCAAACCATCCTTCCAAGGGTCACATGCTTGCCATAAAGATTCCTTTCAGGGTATGGAAACTTAAGGCTCCTCCACACCCTCACAGGACATACAAGCAGGCCAGATGAGACAAGGTCGGGAGGGGAGGAAGAGGCATTTCCCAAGCTTCCTACTACAAACAAATCACTATCTAAATTCAGGAAAGAGCCTGATTGTCAAATTCTAAGCAGGCTACATACAGATCAAACATTGTTTGTCTATGGCCATGAATGGAGGTGAAGTTTTTTTTGCCTAATTTTCACATTATGTTCTGTAAACATCTGGAAAGCACATACTGTATTGCAGGATATATGCTACAAAGAACATTCCAAACACCTCCTGGGAGCAGGGGGAGGGATCCCATCTCAAACTTTCCTGGACTCACCAGCCACTGGAACTACCAAAGACCTTGGGTTAGCAGCCCACCCACCTGGTTGCTCCTTCCTCTGGGTCTCAGAGGTAAAGTGAGGGCCAGTACCTGTTACAGGCACTTCTCCCAACCCTCCACTAAGCACTGTGCCCTTGGACCACCCCTCCTGGGACATTTTTCCCCAGGATCAAGAATGATCCACCTCGCTGGGTGACTGCAGCTCTTTTACAGACCACAGCTGCAAGGTCTGGGTCTGGAGTTTTTCTCATCCCCTTTGTAGGGAGGGGGGCCCCCGGAGACAAGTGTCCCAGCAGAGAGATGGGGGAGGGGGAGTTTCAATACCTTTGTGCTCCGAGCTGGACGTGGTGCCCGTGGCGGGGACCGCAGGCTCCATCACACAGGCACCCTGGCCACGGGTGAGAGCGTGCAGGGGCCGAGGCTCCCCGGGCAGTGCACGGCAGCTGAGTCCACGGGCGCAGCGCGCAGTGGCCACACCGCAGGCGGCACCCAACGGCAGGGCACACATGGGGCAACAGCCACAACCAGCAGGCCGGGAGATCTCAGGGCATGAGGCAGGCACGGGTGGACAGAGTGCCAGCCTCTCAGCGGAGCAAGGAGCACAATGCCATGGCTGGGTAGCTCCAGTGGCCACGTAGACCTGGAAAGCTAGGAGGAATAGAAATGGCCAGGGAGCAACCGCTGGGAACTCAGGCATAGCAATGGGGTGGCGACAAGCAGTAGATGAGGCTCTCTGGGCAGGTGGCAGTGGCACGGTGGTCGCAGCTCCCTGGGCAGGTGGTGGTGGCACAGTGGACACAGCTCTCTCCGGAGGTGGCTGTGGTGTGCTGTCCAGTGCTTGCTAAGTGTGTGTTGGCCGGCAGTGGACGATGTTTGGCTGGGTGCATCCAGCGCCTTATGAAGGGCTGGCAGCGTGGCGCTTGGACAAGAAGGTTAATGATTGTCAGGGCAGCGTGCTAGGATCCCAGTGTTCAAAATAAGTTTGTTTTGCTCCTAAGCTCTGAGCAAACCGTGGGTGGAAGGAGGGTAAACGGATCAAGTTTCTTACTATGTTTGTCCTGTTGTGTTGGGGTCAGGCCTGGAACTAAAGTCCAATTCTAACAGCAAGCTGGCAGTCAAGGCACTTGTTTTCGTTCAAGGGCATCAAAGGCATAGCTGGTCAAGCTCTTCACCTGGACTCAGGGAAAGCCTAAGAGACCAAAGCCCAGGGTGAGGAAGGACAGGTGAGGCTAAGGTGGCTTCAAGGTGGCTTCAAGCCCCCAAGGAGTGTGGTAGGAGTGGGATTCTCTGTGGCAAAGCCCACAACTGCTTCTCCCAAGAGAATACCTTCACCTGCAAAGAAGAGAAAGCCTCAGGGCCTTGGGACACTGTTTGGCAGTGGAATCAAACCCAAGCTCTCTGACACTCTAATGTTCTGGCTTAGGTCAGATTTTGATCAGAAATCAAATACAAAAGCTTTCTCTGTGCCATTTTTTTATTCTCTTTTATCACAAGAGAAACTTTGGGTGCCTTTAAAGAAAATCAGAAATGGAGCTCACACTGGTACCCCTCTCCTAACCTTCCAGAGGAAACTGATCAGGAGAGCTCCCCCCCCCCTCCCTGTCCCCTAGCCCTCTCCTGTGTTCCCCCAGGCCTAGATTTCTCCTCCCACCCACCTTCCCTCCTGATCCAGATACAGACTCAGGGCTTAGACCCCTGCTTGCCCTTCATGGTGTTTGTTTGTTTAGAGTACGAGGTACTGGAAAGGACCCTGCATAGTACCCAAGTGCTCTACCACTTCCATGCACCCCTGCCTAGCCCCCTGCGGTCTTTAAGAGTAGTATTTCAGGTCTAACAGCTTAGAGATTTCAAAGTTTAGACCATGGCTCTGGAGGAGGATATGGGGGCCAGAGGATGGAGGAAATTTCCAGGCAAGGTCACAGAGACTACCCTGGAACTTCCTGGACGAGAACCCATGACTCATTCCTGCTCTCCATGTTTGAGCTCTGGGAAATGCTTTTCTCTGTAACTTGGCTAAAGCACTCTAAACCCATGTTCACTGATATATCACCAATTCACAATCATTCTTACATTCAAGGAAACCAGCAGAGGCGCCTGCTACAGAGCAGGTATGAGGGGAGGTAACAATGGGAACTGACTGAGGTACAGTGAAAGTCCTAGCAGATAAGGAATACAATGCCAAGGATCCGGGAGTCAGGCCAATGAGCTGAAGTGAGCAGAGAGCCCTCGGGACACCTGCCAGGAGAGGACTCATGAGATGGGAGTTGATGAATAAGGAAGCTTTCACCAGTAAGGGACTAAGAGAAAGTCCTGGGGCAGGACTTAGAGTGAAGGGGTTAAGCTCCATCGCACAGAAGAATGCAGAGGGTTCAAGCAGACCGCGCTCTTCCAATCCCAGAAACACCCTTCTTGATAGACCAGAGAGACAAAGGGAGCTCCCCTGCTCTGCTTCCTGGTGCTGCAGCTGTGTGCAGAGCCCATGGCCATCACTGAAAGAGCTGGGTGGGAAGAGGAGGGAGTCTGAAGCTCAGAAGGCAAGGGGTCTGTGCTAGCCTGACGCTACCGTGATGAGATGGAGATGGGAGCTCATTTTTCCAGCATCTACTCTGAAGCTCTCCTGAAAACAACCTAAAGGTCGCCAGCCAGCCACTCGATAAGGAAGTCCTGGGGCAGTCACTGGAGACACTCAGCTCTTAATGAGAGATAGAGAGCAGCTCTGTATTTCTTAATAGAAAATCTTTACAATACAGAGTTACTCAATTAAGTAAAATCTCCATGCTAAGAAAAATTGGGAGGGTACAGAATGTGCCGTTGCCAGTGTGCAAGAGCAGCTATAGCTCTAAGCACATTGAAAGCCTTGAGAAGAATGCAAAACAGGATGCCAGCTGGGTAGCAGGGGAGGCTGTGAATTCAGGAGCTTCTTCTGTGCTCTTTCTGATTCTTGTGGATCTATATGCCCTACTTACTTTATCTAAGGACTAAACACTTTGGGCTGCAGAGGAAGTTCAGGAACACAGCCCTTGACTAGCGAGAACAAGACCCTGTATTCAAGCCTCAGTCTTGGAAAAAAATGAAATTGCCCTAGTACTTCCTCTTCACTGGCTCCCTGGCCTTAAAAAGTGACTAAACTTTCGGAATTGACTTTTGTTCTATCTGAGGAGCCTCAACTGGTCTAGCATCTACTCACAGCAATTAGAACAGGGTCAGAGAGCAGAACAGTACTTAGAAGTTCATGATCTTATGCCAGGCATGGTGATGAATACTTTTAATCCCAGTATTCAGAAGACAGGGGCTGGCAGATCTCTTTAAGATCTCTGTAAGAAAGAGAGTTTGCAGGCCAGTTGGAGCTAGAGGTGTATCAAAAAAAAAAAAAAAAAAAAAACTTATAGCAATCCTTCTGCCTCATCTCCTGAGTGCTGAGATTTTAAGAGTGTACTGCCATGCCCGTCTTTTTTTTTTTTTTAATAAAGAGGTGTCCAACATTCAGTATCTTGTTAAGGAATTGATCAGCTGATTTCAATCTTTTCAATTTTTATTTTAAATTAATATTCAATTTTTTAAGATTTTATTTTTCATTGTGTGTGTGTGTCCGTGTGTCTGTGTGTCTGTGTGTCTGTGTGGGGTACATACATGTGAGTGCAGGTGCTTCGGATACCAGAGGAGGGCATCAGATCCCTTGGAGGTGGAGTTACATATGGTTATGAACCAACTGTGAGTACTGGGAACTGAGCTCAAGTCCTCTGCAAGAACAGCACATGCTCCTAACTACTGAGTCTTCTCTCCAGTCCCTAACATTTAATTTCGATTGTAAATTATTTTAGCTTATCAGTTTTGATATAAATGCCTAAATAATTTCATTTCCAGAAGAGGAACTGTGCTCTCTGACTTCCTCAACTTGTAAACACTGTCTACACTTGAAATGTTTTGTTTTTAATGAAATACAGGAAAGAAAAAAGTTCTTTGGCAAATATTTGGGGCCAACCTACTGTGTGCCAGGCAGCGGCCAGGGCCTGGACTATTTACTGTGCTACGTACTTGCCCAGCACTCATCCAGCTGTCCCTCCCTGGTGTCTCCCTGTTCCTGCACGTTGTAACTGTAACTCTTCTTCCTTCCCAAAGATTGATTTCCCAAATGTTTCCATTGCTTACCTCATAGCCATACAAACCAGCCACCAAACTCCACTTTTACTCCTAACCCTCTGTCAACACAAATGAAGCCAGGCCCCTTCCTCCAAGTCCATTGTAGACAGTCAGTTCATTGCCCTGTCCTGTGTGGGGTGACCAACCCTCCCCCTGAGTCAGAGCTGTGACTCAGCCAGCCACATCCCTTGCCTAGCTTTTCTGAACCAGAGAAACCCATTCATTTTCAAATGGAATGCCCTCCTCCTCCATTCACTAGAAGCAATTCAATTCCACTTCCACACTCTGGTTTTAGTGTTTTCACATTTGAACTTTCACTGTCTCTTTAACCTCATCTCTTTCCCCACAGTCTGTTTTAGTCAATCTTAGAAGCTGTCTTCAGGACTCTTGTGGTTTAATGTGACAGATGAATCTTCCTTCCTTCCAGCTTCTTGGTAGTTTGAGCTTCTGTCTGCATGCTTTTCCTCACCCACAGTGGAGCAGAGGGAAGCTGTCTTCTATGCGGGGAGGGCAGAACTGGGCATCAAGAAGAGGAATAAGGGGTGCCTCAAACTGAGCTTCCATCTGGCATGCTCACAGCAAGTGGACAGTCCATAGAGGGCTCATAGGCTCACCCTGGGCTACCTGTGGCAGGAAGGGAGAGCATCCAGAATGTCTGGGCACCTCTAGGAAAAAGTGTTGCCACAGCTGATCTTGCAGCAGAGGTTGGGGTGCTGTGAGAGAGTAAGGATAGGAGAAGGTGAGAGCTCAGAATCACCAGAGCTTGGCATACCCTGAGAATAGCCAGTGGTTCTTTCTGCCTGGAAACAAGGAATACTCAGTGGTCTAAATATACTGAGAGTAGCACAGCCTTTAAGACAGACTGGAAAACTTGAAGCTGGAAGTTCACAATCACCAGGAAGGGAGCAGCCCTGGGGACTTCTCATTCCCGCCTCCCTTCAGAGAACTGACTAGACACCCAGACACAAAAGCTTAGCCCCATCCTTGAAAATCCACAGGGAAATCACAACAAATCGCTCCTTTAACTAATGTACTGACTATGGCTTGTGGCAAATGTGTGATGAGTAAAGGGCCTTGGGAAAGCCAGTTCCGATGGCACACACCTGCAAGGCCAGCCTTGGGGAGACTGAGGCAAGAGGATTGCAAGTTCAAGATCGGCCTATGCTACACAATGAGACTCTGTCCTCCAAAGAAAAGAAGGAAGTGGGAAATGGAGGAAGGAAAGAAGCAAAGGAGGGAAGAAGGGAGAGAAGGAAGAAGGGGGGAGGGAGGGAGAGATGGGGGGAGGAAGGAAGGGAGGGAGGGGGGAGGAGGAAGGGAGGGAAGGGAAGGAAAGTAGGTAAAAGAAAAAGACTGTTGGGCAGAAATGCAGAGTGGAAGGCCTCTTCCTTAGGTGGAAGGCCCTCATGGAAGCCAGATGGTTCAAACACTTGGAGAATGTTGAATGGCTATGATGGAAGCAGATAAAGAAAGCCAGAGAAGCTCAGACAGAGACTACATGTCAGCTCAAGGACCCAGGACTCCCTGAGTTAACAGCATGACCTAGTGCTTCCACAGGACCTCGTCGGCATCTCTAAGGGACTTCTGACTATGTAGCCACTAAAGGGACATTCTGAACTCAGAGTTATAGCTTCATAGCCATGACCCTGTCTCCCCTCAACCTTCACCCAGGACCTGCCCTAAATGTCCTTCTCACAGCCTTCTTTGGAGTTCAGACAGATGGGTGGCCTCTGTGCATTCACAGA